CTTCCCTCCCCCCCCAGAATTGGAAAAAATATCATCTACCCCTCCCCCCCCCAGAAATTCTGGATGGTGCAAAAACACCTTCTTCAACGTTAAGTCTCTGTCGCCGTGGCCCGTGAGAGGATGCCTATAAATTTATTTAGTATTAGTATTTAACCTTAAAATGCATAAAACTGGGTGATTTTTAGGCAGAAATTGAAGGAAGATTAGCGCCGTAAGTGCCTCGAGGTGCGCTCAAATAGAGTTAAAATTTAAAAAATTGTCCGAGGGAGGCCCCCCGGTGGTGGCAGGCCAGCCCCCNCCCCCCCCCCCCCCCCCAGCAAAATAACCTAGCTACGCCTATGCTCTACACCAAGTTTCAGCCACTTATGAAAAAATGACGAGGATTTGCATCAATTTGAAAGGGAAACGGCAACTTTGGAAGCGCATAGCTCAGTGATGAAACTTTTTCGGGCATATGTGTATAGGAAAAAAAGTATATTTCGCTTAAGTTAACTTCCGAACACCCTGTACCTATATACGAGCGCGTAAACTGCGTGAACCGAGCTGAGGCGTCTATCATCAAAGTGATGTGTTAGCTGAGCATGAAGGACGAAATTTCTTTGTATTTCTGGGATTTGCGTTCGCTTTTTTCTACATTGACAATTAAGCGTGGATTTGAGCCTGTGCGCATGTTATGTGCTACCTCATGTTAATCATATCTTTTCATCCGATGCCCCGTGAGCACGTGCAATCTGCGCAGGCATTATTGTATTATTAATGAGCCATGCATCATTTTGAGGAGTGAAAATCAAACAGTAGATTGTAAATAAGCACTGCGCGGCGCTCTCTGAATATATTTTCACCCGCCATTTGGGTACCTACAGTAACCGCGCACGAGAGAGGAGGGAGATGAAGGAACGTGATTGAAAATGACAGAACATTTTACTATCTGCAAAGTGTGCATATTGGTAACAAAACGATTCATTATAAGTCCCGGATAAAGGTTGAGGTATGCGAACCCTTCCTATTCACCGTCCGGGAGGTCTCACCCTCCCTGATGCGCGAAGCTGATGAACACGGAAGTTGTCCCATTGAGGTTACGATTTAAATTATATACTGTACTATGCTATATCGCAGTATGGTCCCAATTCTTTTTTCAGTGATCAAAAATCATAGCGGCTCTCAGTTTGAGTATAAATACATTTAAGATATGTATTCCTCATGATTTTGATGCGCTGAATCCGAATTTGACCTCCGCTTTTCCCTAAAAAATCATTTGCAAAAGTTACCGTCATTTTTTCACATAAATCACAAACTGCCATAAAATTGGCTTGTTATACTTGTTTCGATTGGATGGAAACCATGCGTTCATTGCACATACATTTACAGTTCATGCAAAATTAAGGATATTTTAATTTTTTGACACCCCCCCCCCTTTTTTTTTTTTTTTTTTTTTTTTTTTTTTTTTTTTTTTTTTTTTTTTAAACGATAACTAAACAGAAAAAAATGAAATAAATCTAAAATTCATTTGTATTTTAAACATGTCGAAATAATGCTTCAGAGAAGACTTTTGTTTATGTCGATTTGCCGGGAAACGCAAATCGGGTACATAACAATGTTGAAGAGCGGGGGGTGCAATATTGTCACGTTAAGGAAAATTCAATCAACAATGGATAAATATTCGGGGAGTAAGGAATTTTACATCAATAGGTACTTTCTAGGATGGAAAAGAGCATTTTTAAAGATAAAACCGCGGAACGGAAAACTTTCCAAAAAATCTCAAAAAGTAGGGGGAACCAAAGTTTTTTTTTCGAAACGGTCAACCTCAAAAAGATTCATAGAAGCTACATAATGGCGTCTCTGTAGATGCAAAATTGCTTAGCACGTGTTAAGGCTGCAATTACAGGTGTTTTTCAGGGCAAAAAATTGAGTTTTTCTGGGGCAAACACGTAGTCACGTAAAAAATTCAAATTTGGTCGAAAAAGCAGGCGGAAGCAATTATTTTTGGTTCGGTTACCTTCCTAAGGATCTGTAGAAACGACTTAAAAGTGTCTCTGGAAGTGCCAAATGTCTCAGAATATTTTTCGAGGGGCTTTCCATGGTTGTAATATAGTTTTTTGAAGGAAACACGCAGGTACGAAAAATATTCAAAATTCGTTCAAAAAGCAAGAAGAACCAACAATTTTTGGTTTAAAATCCTTCTTAAGGATTCATAGAGACTACTTAAGCACGTTTTTGGAAGTGTCGCGTGCCTCAAAAAAGTTTAAGACGACTACAGATTGATCGATGGCTAAACTTGCTAAATACCGTTATTTTATCCACCGGCTTAGAGACCTAATAAATTCGATTTCTCGAGAAAAAGCAAACCAAAGCACGAAATATTTCTACTGTAGCTTTCCAAGGATGTGTAGAAGCTCCCTAAAGGTGTCTCATTAGGTGACCTTTGGTGACTTTTTTTTAAAATGAAAGTACGTGGGAAAAATCGGCATTTTTTCATGAAAAATAGGTACCCAACTTCTACCTTGTATAGAATGTATCAGAATGCCTCGGAGAAAAATTGTAATTAGTGCGTTACAATCCTTCTTAGAGTCCTCTACAAAATGGTATAGGCAAGAATTCTGAGAGACCATTTCATGATTCAGGAGAGCCTCCGAACGCTTTGTTAGAAATAGCCACTTCACGGGTCAGAAAATACATATCCGACTATTCGCACAGTTTGTGACACTTTCAAAGTGACTAGAAATTTTTTTGAGGTAAACTACGTGTAGTTTATTACCCGTAGATACTATATTTATCAATTTTGGCTCGAAAAAAAAAAGTCGTCCAATTTCATAAATATCGATTTTTGAGCGCTCCCGAGCGGATTGGGACCATAGTGTATCGCAATGTCATGTATCTCCTGATCTTTGATGAAAATAACATTTATTAGCTCGCTCTCGCTCTCTCTTCATTTATTCGAATTAAAAAAGGAACCACCTTTTTTCTTTAAGAAGCTCGAGGCAAAATTCTTAAGATAGCGAGGAAAAAGCATATCAAGTTTTGCGAGCGAGTAATTATTTTATTTATTTATTTATTTTTATTCTAAGGATGAAAATAAAATGTGACAAGGATTTAATTTCGTCTCAGATCGAGAAGTTTTTTTTCTAATTTCACCACTTGCATATGTATCTATGAGAGTCATCCAAAAAGTAAGGTACCTCGCATCTTCCGAACGAAAAGAGATAAATCAAATCGGTAAAAAGATACATATTAGACTTACTCTAAGCTTTAAAACAAGCCCACGTTTTTGAAAATCGATCGAGGAGTTCGCGTGAAAACTTAATTTTACTGAGACAACCTCGACGTAGACTCTCCGCTCAACTTTGTAACCACGGTTAGGAATAGCACATGGCAGTAAACGCATTCGCAAACCGAAGGTATAGAATTCACAATTACCTTGCTCGTTAGAATATATTGTCTGAATCTTAAATCGGCAAAGAAAATTAAACTCGAGTTACTTTATCAGTTAAGTGACAATGTGTAATACTGTGTGATGGGGAGACAGGCTCATAAGTGTGTCCGTCATCCAGAGGTGTAAGGGAGAGAATTTTCCTGTGTTCGATGAAATTGGGTATAGTTAGGTAGACGCCGACGATACAATCGATTTTTCGTAAAATACGAATCAAGAAAAGTAGATCAAATTGAGTTTTCATTTTCAAACTCACGGCATGGCATGGCTGGGTGCCGGCACAGAACAGAATATATAGGTGAAGCCTATATATTTTGTGGTGTCGGGTGGATTGAATTGAACCATGGTTCATGGTTCGGAGTTCCAAGTTGGACACCGGACAGTTGGGCGAGGGACCGAGTCGCCTTTTGCCTTTTCATCCAGGTTTCGTATGAAAATGAAAATCAGCCGTTAAAATAATTTAAGAGAGCCAATTTTTGTATTTTATTCCCTTTGAAAACATTTGCCTGATAATTCTTTCGATAATAAATACGACCCTGGAAGTATCGGCAAGGAACGATTATTCTAGGAACGTCTTCACGAGTGTTAGGTTATGTTGTTATGTTTATCTCTCACATGGTTTATGGTTGTACCAAAGACATAAAGACGGAGCGCTAAAAGCAAAAAATGAAGCTTCTTTTCAATCACCTCTACTATTGGCTAGAGGATTGGCGGCGAAATCGGGACAAGTTTGAAATTCAAATGTAGGGCGGGAACTGAATAAAATTGCGGAAACTAAGTATTTTAGGTTGATTTTTGCCCAAATTCACTTACACACTCATATTTTTATAACTTTAGGTTAGTTTTGGTCCGTCGTCGACCGATTAATTTCATTTGGGAGTAACGGTCATCTACGACTGTAACGGTCTGTTTGAACCGGCAGAACCACCATGAGCCGAAGAAAAATTAACTTTATCTGAGATTACTGCCTGTTACCGAGCAAAAGTAGGTGTATTACAAAAGGACGCAGTCCCAACTTTCTTAATATATTCGTTTCAGGCATTTAAAATACGTTTCGAAAAAGAAATGTGGAAAAATCAAGAGGACAAGTTCAAATCAAATTTCCCGCGCTCTTGTATGCACTCACACAAGCACCCAGCGCCAAACCAGGCTTCACTTTTTCCCCGTGCTTTTAGTCACGAACACTCCGTCTTTATGTGTTTGGGTTGTACCCATTACCAATCAAGTAAGTAATGTTTCACTTGCACCCCCTTGCATACCTCAATTCAGTCTGATGGCATCAATCGATTCCAAATATTCAGGTTATAAATTAAGAATTCTCCTCTCGCCCATATAGTTGGCCGACTGTTAACTACTACTGAGGGACGGCAGCTCATTCGCCCGTCAATTCAATACTGACTGAAAGAAAGGCCACCACACTGCTTATTCTCTGCCTCACTCATGAATTGGCTGGCTAATGTACCAGCGAGAACTTAAAACAACTCATCCTTAGAAATTTTACAAATTCCACATCTCCAGTGCTGCGGGTCTTGCACTAATTTCATCACTCTCAACGTACCTTAAGTCAAATCAGTTTTTGCACCTAAAAGTTGTATAATTTTAAAATACTCCTAGAGTTTAAACAAAAATGAACCGCTCTACCTACGTATCAGATGTCCCAACTCAATGTATCCTGGCAATCAGTGATAAATCAGGTATCCATCAGCATCGGACGGTGAATGCGTGAGTTAAAAATTTTATTGACTGGTCTAATGTGTTTCATTTAGCGACTGAGGCCTGTAAGTAGTAAAGTGGTCCATTTTTAAGTTTTTTCTTAAAGTAAAGGTGTAAGGAAGGTCCTATCTCCCAAAGGAAGGGTCCTACTCTCACTTTAAATTCGTTCTGTTATCAAATGGTAGTTAATATATTGTAATGTATTTTAATGTCTGTCTCGAAGGACGGTCATTAATTGTAGGTAGATCAATTTGATGATCTGTCTCTTTGCTCTGTATTTTTGCAGATCGACACTTCCAGGAGCTTGCCTTATCAGATTCACATTGCTGCTTAGTGCCATTTGCTGTGTGCTCCTCGACGTTCCCTGTCATGTGTGGAAGGAACGTCGGGTAGAGAATCGATGGCTATCTTAAAATCATCAATGATCGGAGTTAATTGTGAAATTATTAAAGCTGTGAAGCGATGATGTCGCATCTTTTGAAGAATGCTTTCTCTTCTAAAAATAAACTGAAAAATGGTGTTGTGTCAGTATTTTTCTGAAAGTGCTGTTCTTTATTGATCAGCTATTAAATCATGGTGCTAATTTTTCTCTTACGTTAAAGAGTGCTTTAGATATTTTTACAATGCACTCATAGTGTTTTCAAGTGTTCCTCCGTAACTATACCAGTGCCAATTGGAAATTTGGATTTATTGTCTGGACGTTCCTGACCCAGTGGATTACAGATTCGAGCAAGTTGGTGAGTGTTGTTTGTTCATTTTCTATTTTATTGAGAATGTCTGCATGACATATGTCATCCGTTATTACTTTGCATGATGCATATTTAGCTGGAAGATTATCTTTACGCATGCCTAGTGGAAGATACATTGACGGTGTAAGTCGGCAATCAAATAACTCGTTTGCGGGATCTGAAAATCTCCGCATCTATGTTGTTTTTTTAAAGGAGAACAAATTGACATCATTCCTTGAAGTTTTTGCAGAATTTTCTTCGCACAGAGAGGAAAAATCACGGCAGTTTCAAAGAATTGCCGTTGAGTAGTTTTCCGTTCCAAAAATAAAGTATGACAGGAAGTCTGCGACGTCGCAAAACGAGTTATGTGATTGCCGACTTACACCGTCGACTTGTGTGTTTAGAACTGCTGACATATGCGAACTTCGAAACTACAATGCTATGATGTAGAAAATCCTAGAAGTCCAAGAGGGTCTATGCGCTGATACCAACTGTCGTATGCTCGTCAAACAAGTTCCCATGGCCATCATAGGTCATAGGTGGCCTGCCCACAAAGTATGTCTGTAGGGTAGCCCTACTTTTCATGAGGGAGCTTTGAGTATACCATGTACTTTTTAATATTATTGTGCTTATTGCTCTCACTTAAAGATGTAAGTACATACTAAGCTTTTATCCATTATACATTTTGGCACATTACACCATTCCAAAACGCCTTATCCCTGCCAAACTAAGCGCTTTTAGTTTATACAGAAGAGAAGCCATCCATTGTCACTTATGTTCGTTATCATTATTCTTTGCAAAAAGGGTAATTTCTGGACGAGGCTACTGACCTTATTGCATTGGCACTCATGCTGCTGTTATAAGGAAAAACTCCGTAAGAATCTTTGAACATTGCCAAGTTTTCGTTGATGTAACACAAAGTTTCAGGGGAACTTTGTGAATGTTTTCCTTCCAAATGCTTACATGAGATTAGTCACAATTTAATTTGTGGCAACTGATAATTTTAAAGAAAATTATTCATGAGTTTTTTTTCAAAAATAAACATTTTATCTAGGAAAATTTGGCAACGTGGCAACTTCCAAATTTGATGGAAAGATTCTCGAGCCCCTACCAGCCGGGATGGTCCGCTCAAATCGGGGCCCTAGTTGTGTAATAAATTCGTCCACCGTTAAACATGCATACCGGTAGTGAGGCTATTATCGACGCATTATTAATAATTAGATCCCTATTGAAAGCCAGATATTTTATGAAGGCAATCATCCGCTTTGCAATATTGACATTCATTGTTTGGCGGACGCCGCGGCAGCGCAGCGTGCGCAAGTCGTAGCGCCGCGCCGTATTAATTGGGTGTCGGATTAGCAACGGGATCTTTGTTGGTGGTTTCACGCTCCTCAATGCCCATATTTCTCTTATATTTCAACCCGTTTCACGAGTGTCAAAATCCGTATCCGTCCATTCTCTTGACTTCCGTCAATGATGATAGGGGGAAAAATTTTGACTGGAGGAACTACTATTTCATTTTGTATAGTTACTATGCCCAGCGCACTAAATGATGCTAAAGTTAGGAACATCGGAAAGTAAAATTAATGTAAGGTGGTTACGTTAAACATGAAACATCGCAGAGTTGACTTTAGAGGGTTCTCCTACACCGGTAGAAATGATTGGGTGAATTGAGGCTGTGTTGATTCGGTAGCCTTGCTAAAAATGACCATGTTGGTAACATGTTGAGACCAAACGCCCATGTTGGTATCAATATGATGTCAACATGGTATCAACTTGGGGTAAAAAACCAACATGGTACCATGCTATCAAATATGATAAGTCCCGGTATGTTATCAACATAATAAAAAAATTAGTGCCAACAATATTGCATAAATATGGTAACATGTTGATATCAATTTGGACTTTTTTACCGTTATGATAAAGAGTTCATGTAAAGTTGGTATCTATTTTTCAAACTATCAATACGATACCAGCATGGTAACAACACGGTACTGATCATGCTGATCAATTTAAATATTTGTCAACAGTATGATCCATCCTGCCTAATTCACGAATATATTATATAGGTTTCAGGATGGTTCTGTGAATTAAATTCTACGTTCCTAGAGAGGCGGGTACCCCCCTCCCCCTCCCCCTAACTTTTGAACGGTTTGAGATAGAAAAATGAAACTTCGGGAATGTTCCTAGGTATCTCAAAGGGGACCATATTTTTTTTTTTTTTTTTGGGGGGGGGGCGGGGGGCCCAATTTTTTTTCAAATGGTAACCCCTATCTTGTGATACGTAATTGGAAAGAACACTAAAAATTAAGAATTTTGGCGCCAACCGCAGATCAATATCTTAATTTTATACAGAGTTATAATAGGTCAAAGGTCGAATTTGACCTATTTTCAAAAAATCATAACTCCCGTTCAAATTATCGTAAAGAAAAAAATAAAACGGGAAAATGTAACACATTGTAAGCATTTTTTAAACACAAATCGCAGAAATCACTTCAAACCAATTTTAAGGGGGGGGGCGGGGGGGTCGGACTCGTAAATACGTCAGTTCAAAGGTCATACAATTTTCCCGCAAAATGAGCCAAATTCCCCTAACTTTGCCTCAACTTCATCTTAGTGAGTTCAAAATTAGCTCAACATTACGTTTTCAAGTCCCCAAATTTCGGGAAGAGTTCAAAAAAACGAAATTTAAGGTGCGACCATTTAAATTGCGTTTTTTTTAAACTTTTCCCGAAATTTGGGGACGTGAAAACGTAATGTTGAACTGATTTTGAACTTACTGAGATAATGTTGGGGCAAAGTTAGGGGAATTTCGCTGATTTCGCGGGAAAATCGTATGACCTTTGAACTGACGTATTTGGGGGTCCGAATCTCCCCCTTAAAATTAGTTTGAAGTGATTTCTGTGATTTTTACATGAAAGTGCTGACAATGTGGTAAATTTCCCCGTTTTATTTTTTATTTACGATAATTTGAGCGGGAGTTATGATTTTTTGAAAATAGGTCAAACTTGACCTTTGACCTATCATGACTCGTCAAAAATTAAGATATTGATCTGCGGTTTATGCCAAAATTCTTAGTTTTCAATGTTCTTTTTAAGGATGTATCACAAGATAGGGATTACCATTCGAAAAAAAAAGTTGGGGGTCCTCGCCCCCCCCCCCCCCCCCTTTTGAAAAAAAAAGTCTGGGGCCCCCCCCCCCCCCTGAGGGAGGGAAAAAACTTTTGAACCCCCTAGAAGATGGTCCCCGTTGAGATAGAAACATTCCCAAAGTTTCGTTTTTCTATCTCTAACTGTTCAAAAGTTAGAGGTGGGAAGCAGGACTCTTGGAACACCCTGTATACTATTCTGCTGCTTGGACGAATTTCGTACAGGTTTACATCGTTATAAGTTGTACTCAAAGTTGATTTGAAATTACCAATGCATATTTGGATTACATTTAGCAATAAGGAACCACTATTTCTGGCCTATTTTAGAAACAACATACACGCCATTGGTTTCCATATGCAGGTATGTGCTTTTATGGGAGAGCCAGATATAGTGGTTCCTAATTGCTAATGTAATCCAATTAGGAAATTAGGTATGATTTCCATTTACAGCCCACTAGAATTCAATTCTAGTGCGCCACCTCTTTTTCCTATGAGTGTGTTACTGCAGTCGTGCATAGGGCTTATCCTGGATGAAAAATCTCTGAAACGGGGTAAGTACCACCAAGGCAGACATGTTTACTGTTTTGAAATTGAAACCCGATGCAGTATCATAACATGTCTTGAATAAAGAACAAACTAATGTAGGCGGACTGATGAGGTATACCTACGTAGGCGATGATGCATCCATCGGATCTGGTCGTGCGCCTGTTACAATGCGCATCTACCGTTGTTTCAACCCAGCACGCCCTCAACCCCTCCATTGTGTCCTCTTGTCTCCGTCTGCACCGAGCGTCTCAACCTTCAGGCTGCTGCAAGTAAGCCGATACATTTGAAGGAAATAAAAAATAAAACGATCAAAAGGAACGAAAAGGTGCATGAAGGGGGAGCATGAATTGATCCGAATCCATTTTAATGCGTCAAGTTTCGAGTAATTAGGTGCTTATGCAGATTGAACGCAACAAGCACCGAGCTAGAGACGAAAGGACTCGATTAAGACAATGAGGAATATGATAAGTCTGGAGGGTCCCGAGTTAATAGACACGACCTCATAAGAAGTTGTTTGTGTGCTGGCGTCAAGCCTTTGCTAAAAGAAGGAGTCTCGCTCGCGTGTACAAAGGGGTGAAAATGAAGACGCGCCGAGCAAGGACAGCGCGGATTTCAATAAAAGTTCCTCCTCGTTTTTTTCTCCTTTTTTTCAATCATTATTATTGGTTTTTTTCTTTTTCTTTATTTTTCACTTGTTTTCTACTGAAGGTAGCAGGTGCACTTCGAGTTGAGAGCTGGAGCAGATGAAATGTCAAAGACTGTACGAGGAACTTTGTGCTCGCTTTAAAAGAAATCGGTAAATTTATTGTTGATTCCTACCTCTTCTTATTCTTTTTCTTTATACTTTCAATTAGTGTATCTGAGTGCGCCTTCTTCAGGTATGGTCATAGCCGGTTTCGGAGACACTTTTGTGCTTCTATAGGTCTTTTTGCTCATTTATAGCGCTTGACTTGATTGAATTTTTTCTGTTCTCCCTCTCTATCGTTCCCTTTCTCTCCTCCTACCCTGCTTACAAAGTGTATTTAAAAGCCGTGATAATGTATTCCATGATAAATACTTCAAAATTTACCCGAGAATCTCTACTTTTTATGACCTTACACGCCGACAATAGTAAGAAGAAAATATTTTCAAATGATATTTGCTTACCAAGGGATAAGCATGTGTGTACACATCGATGGCGAAAATACTAGACCACGCACAACGGTTTACGACCTTGATGTCAGTTTCCTGTCACATTTTATTTCTCTAAGGAAGGCCTCCTCGTTGTTTCTGCTCAAAATTGTATTTGATTTTTCTTCCTTCTTTAAACATACCTATCCTCTGAACGAGGTGTGTGAAAAAACGGCCAAAAATGCCTAAGGCATTATCAAATTTTGAACACTTGGGGTGATACAGTATCTTTCGAGACGCCCAGAACTGGTCGCCGTTTTGCTTAGAAGCGCCGGGTTGCGACGTTGCCATTTTTTAAAGTGGAAACCTTTCAAAATGCATATTTCCGCTGCATCTCAACCGATTTCAATGAACATTTTTTGAAAATGTTCCTTTTAAATAGAGCTTCCTATTGATGTATAGTTTCCTGGGTTTACTCGGCTTTAAAGGGCACTTGCGCGGTTTTAGCAGTTTTTGATAGACACAAAAATTTTGTTTTTACTTTACCACGATCGTGGAATCGACGGAATCTAAACAAAAACCAGTTTAAATGAAAGTTCAGATTCTCACCTTTCTAACGACTACAAGATCATCCCGGGAAAACGTTTATTTTCCGAGATATGATCGCTTAAAGTTGGTCACATGCGCTTTTCCGCAATGTGAATGCATCTTATCACTGAATCATTCGTGATCTAGGGGTCCCTTACGTTCAATTTACGTTGAAATAATTACACAGAGCAGTAAGGTGTCCAACACAAGCCGTTTTTTCACCTTTGGCTGCCGATGCGCGACGTTGCCAAAAGTGAAAACCTTTAAAAATGCATAACTCCGCTGCATTTCAACCGATTTCAATGAACTTTTTTTTAAAATGTTCCTCTGAAATAGAGCTTTCTAATGGTATGTAGGTTTCTGTATTTTATTTACATGAAAAAATTGGAGGGGCATAAAGAAGACATGAAAAAACAACTTAAAAATACAAAAACAGGTCATAAATCTACGGTGAAAAGGAATTTTGTTATTTTTAAGGCACCGCACGGAAGCTATAGCTGACTCACAATTGATCCGCAAGCTTGACAGTCACTGCGAGTCATAGGTGAAACTGGTTAACCAAAGATTCGTGTTATTTACTATAGTTATTTGTTATGGAGCTTACTTGAGAGACGGATGGCCGGGAAGTTGTAAAAATATTTAATTGTGAAACTACTGATGCGCCGTCGGACGATAAGCGACGAGTTAGTTTTCCAGAGCGCGCGCGAGAGCAAGAGCACGCAGCGCGACGACCGTGACTGGATGCGGGCACGAGCGGATTCACGTTGACGTCACGTCACCACGTCGCCGCCGTGCAAGGAACTCAACTTTTAGATAAAACTTTCATACTTTGTGTTTCATCTGCCGGAAAAAGCATAGGATCCGCTCCCTTGTGTCCCTGACACCGGAGAAATACTCAAAACGCGGAGTGTCAACCGGACATTTTCCTTTTCTCTTCCCTCGACCAGTAACGCTGAGCATTCTGCGCCCAAACTCTGTGGCCCAGAGAACAAACGATATGATAAGGTCTGAACTCCTCTCATAAAAAGATTGTCATTGACGCCGTAAGAATGATTGTCATTGACGCCGTAAGAATAATCTGAGTCCTTGCTTTCCCAGTCTGCGGGCGAACTCAAGGAAATCCCTTGGTGTATGATTTGAGAGTGGCAATACGTATTAAAGTTTCACCGGAAAGATAAATGGACATCATTACGAATTTAACTTCACAGATGGCAAAGTAAAAGTGTGCGCTCAATATGTATAGATGGTTTTTTTTTCTGAAAAAAAAAAAACCTCTATGCACTCTTATGTTTAGAAGCATTTCAAAAGTTACCCAGAAGCTCGTAGAAAGTGAAGTATAATTCTAGTATCGACCGTTACGAGCGGTAGTTGTGCACCCATTCCATGAGTACAATATAATTTTCACCTGCATGCATAGAAGTCAGCTAAATGAAGTCACTATAGGCCTTGTCTCCACGGGACGTTTCATGAGATTTGTCCCAGGGGAAAATCGCACTTGCGAAATTGGGAACAATATTGAGTTAGTCAATACTAATCACAGTACCAACTAAGAGCCCTTGTGGAATACCAGGAATGACTTCAAAAGAAGAAGATGAAATTTTGTTGTGTTTTTTAACGGGAAAAAATTCCAGAAGTTTCATTCCTACGATTTAAACTTCGGTAAAATCCTGTGAAATGTCCCGTGGAGACAAGGCGTTCTAATCCCTGTTATCGAATACCAATTTCCACAGGTAAAATTGTTCAATCGCTATAGGTACATCAGGCCTGGATTTTCACTGGAGTCGTGATCAACTCAAACTCTACATGTTGCCTGATGCCTGAATTACTTATATATTTTATTTTTTATAGAATACAACATTACGAGTTATACACAATTCCTTAAATTACATTGGTCAACACGGGAAAATTTGCCTCCTACCTTCCGTAAAAATCGAGCTTCTTCAGAGAAAAATCAATTTTCGGGAAAATCAGTGCACGATGGAGAAAAACAAAGATCAGCGGCAAATGAGTGGTACGAACAGTCACTGCACTTGTATTCTGAGAAACAATGTTATCCCCTCTTTTCCGACGCAAAACAACCGGATAAGTATAGTACAGTGTTATATGGGTGGAAAGTTCCACCCAGAATCAGCTAATAGTTAGGAGGCAAATTAAAAAAAAAAAAAAATGTTTACCAGTGTTAATGATATTTAATAATTAAGCCAAGGGAAACGTACGAAGTAAAACATTACTGATCAATTTTTCTCACCGTTTAGTATGAAACCTGCTTCATTTGTTCTTTTTTAAGCATTCAAATAGAAATAGTGAAGCTATGGGTTGCGTTCTACATCATAGTGGACTTTTATTTGGAACTTGTGCTGCGTAAAAAACCTGAAAAAGGAAATCTAAATGAAAGTCGAGTCAAAAGTTGACAACAATGAGGACTTGCATTGCACGGAGACTCGGAAGCGGTGCAAAACGTATAAGGGTTTATAGGGGTTGAGGCATTTAATCGTCAATCAACCACTCTCAATTGAATGTCCACGGCAACTCCACAAAAGGGCGACGATCGGTAGCATATGCCGTTTTTTATTTTCACATTTTTTTCGTCGTCCTTTTTTTTCACCACTCTCTTTCCCCGAGTCTTATCACCGTCATATTTTTGACGTGTTGCGTCATGGCGGGAGTGGCGTCAGATTATTCGCACTGCCCTCTCGTTTCGGTTCGGTGATCCGTCGACATCCCCTCTTTCTCTCCCACCCCCGCGGGAGCGTCAGGGGTTGATGCGTGGCTTACTAACTTGTTGCCAACCCGTTTTTGATAACAATCTCCGACGCAGGTCGGTCTTCAAAATTGTTGTTGTCTGATGATTGCATGCTGCTACCACTGATGTACTACTCAATTTAAGCACATTTCGCTATGTTGTTTAATTGGCCCTTTTTATTCCGCGAGTCGTTATACATTTGTAATTGAGCTCATCATCAATTTCCTTTCTCATGCAATTTTTTTGACTGGCTCATGCGAGGCACTCATCCATAGCGCGATTTTTGCATGCAAACTTAGATTCTGAGGGGATGATGATGTTCAAACTATAATTATCTTTTCTGCACGGCTAAAAATGCGTCTGGTGAAATGAAATTAGACAGAAATGACTCGTGGGGACTCTTTTCAGAGAATTCCAGATTGCAAGGCAACATACTAGTTAACTTAATTTGGGGATATAAATTATAAGTTTATCTGAAATGAATTCTTCAATAGGAATAATCTAAATTCGTCCAATAAATGCGTCCAAAAATAGTAGCAAAAATGCGTTTCAGGCATGCTGAATTTTAAAAAATTTCCGCGGGCTCGGTCCATAAGACAAACTTTAACCCGCGGCGCCGAGTATACTAAGGCCGGCTATGTATAGGTTTACTAGGGGGCCCTGCCCCATGACCGCTACGCGGCCCAACCCCCGGGAGGGCGCCTCACGCCCTCAAGCCCGCTTCGCGCGCCTTATACGCATATGTACAGGCAAAAATGTTCTTCTATTTTAATACACCATTTTGTGTTCGAGCTGCATCGATTTCAACATTTTTGACGTATTTCTCAGATTTGTAAATGATGAGGAATAGCTGGATGTACATAATTTCACAGTCCACTTACTGGAGTTTCTATTTATTATGTTATTTTTAAATACTTAATTGAAAAAAAAACTGGATTTCGACCGTTAAGAGTTAATAATATTTGGTCCGTCCCGACGCGACGCAGCGCCTGCCCTCTCACTTTGTATCTGCTGTAAATATTAATAGAAATTCAGCAATCGAGTAAATTGACCAATGCCACAAATCGAAGCCGGAAGAATGCAGGAAAAATTGAGTTAAACCTTATACCTTGGACCTTGAACCTTGAACCCTGAGCGATGCACCGTTCCTCAACTCTCGGAATGAGGAGCCCTGCTACACAAGCTTTTCCATTGTTCTCTTATTTACTCGACTGACTCAGGTAGAATCCCGCACCTTGACGTTTCTAGCGGAAACGACATATCTCTCACGCTATTAATATTGGACTTAAGTGATATGAGGTTTAAAAGCTCTACAACATTAAATGTTCGGGGTTTCATAATTTTTTGCACATCTACATCTACTACAGATGACATATATGTAAAGATCATCCTTATCGGTCCGGCAGTTCGTCAGAAATAGTGCTTCCAAGATTTTGCTTGTGGCTGTATAATATAGAAAATAGAAAATATAGATTTACAGGTTAAAACCCTGCGATAACAGGCAAATCGCGAGGTTTGATCGTGCCATTTATAAACTAAGCGGCTGTAACAGGCGGTTAAACAGGCATAACACACGCACATTTATTCCAGAGTAACATTTCTTCAAGTATTACCTATTATAACAAGTTGACATTGGTGGGTAGAAAAGAAGACTAAAAGTCTTCTTTTCTTCGGATGAAGAGCTGCCGAGAGATGAACTTTTCAAGTGACGACATTCATTCCGATATTTTTCTGATCTGTAAACTTATGATGTCAATGTTCAAAATAATCAAGATATTCGAGCCACCATTTCCGGTTGAAAATCTTGAGGTTAAATGAAGCTGAACCTAAACTTCTTTTCATTTTTATTCTACAGGGTTATCCAAAAGTCACTGACCACCCCTGTAACTTTTTTCCAAATTGAGATAGAAGTTTGAAACTTTGGGAATGTTCCTCGGTCTGAGGTAGCAACTTTTTGGTCCCCCCAAAATTTTGGGGGCGGCCCCCCTTAAGTGGGGCGGGGGCTAACTTTTTTTTTCAAATGGCAACCCCCCCTTTGTGATACCTCATTCGAAAGATAATAAAAAAAGAAAATTATTGGCGCAAACCGCAAGTCAAAATGTTCATTTTTGACAAAATGGCGGCCGGTCAAAGTTCAAAATGGCGGAAATTTGGCATCTCCGTTGTTTATTGACGGATTGGTGTGAAACTCGGAATTCTAGGGTTTTTCGGGATGAGAAAAACGATTTCGGCATTGGTTTTCCAGAAAAGTCTGTCCTTTTCAAAATGGCGGCCTCGAGCGGGAAGTGGATATTTAGGCTGCATATCGTTGGATTTGCATGAAACTTTGTATCTGGGGGTATTTCGGCACGAGAAGAACGAATCTTTCATTGGATATCTGAAATTTTGACAATTTTCAAAATGGCGGCGGGAAAAGGGAATCAGTGTTACGGCTGTTTACTGATGGATTAGCATGAAATTATTTGATATTTCAAGAATCTAATGAAAGATTCCTGTTTAACCAGCCAAAAACCGCTAGGATATCGAATTTCATGCAAATCCATCGGTAAAGAGCCGTAAAACTGATTTCCCGCCATTTTGGAATTTGTCAAAATTTCAGATATCCAATGAGAGCTTCGTTCTTCTCTTGCCGAAATACCCCCAGATACCAAGTTTCATGCAAATCCAACGATATGATGCAGCCTAAATATCCACTTCTCGCTCGAGGCCGCCATTTTGAAAAGGACCGACTTTTCTGGAAAACCAATGCCAGAATCGTTTTTCTCGTCCCGAAAAACCCTAGGATTCCGAGTTTAACGGCAATCTGTCAATAAACAACGGAGATGTCAGATTTCTGCCATTTTGAACTTTGACCGGCCGCCATTTTGTCAAAAATCAACATTTTGACCTGCGGTTTGCGCCAAAAATTTTCTTTTTTTATTATCTTTCGAATGAGGTATCACAAAGGGGGGGAGTTGCCATTTGAAAAAAAAGTAAGCCCCCGCTCCTCTTAGAGGGGGCCGCCCCCCAAAATTTCGGGGGGGGGGACCAAAAAGTCGCTACTTTAGACCGAGGAACATTGCCAAAGTTTCAAACTTCTTTCTCAATTTTGAAAAAAGTTACAGGGGAGGTCAGTGACTTTTGGATAACCCTGTATACGATAAGTAGTTCTCTCCGAATCCAATAAAATCCAACATTTTTGGAGTTTGACGGAACACAATAAAGCCCGCCGGGAAACTCGACTAGAGTACCTTTATAGACAGAGTATGGCCATTTCTGTTCCGGTTTTTCATTGGACGCGTGAAAATAGGCTGACACGATGTTCTTACGGCCGTAAATAAACAAACAAGATGGCCCTTATCAGCAAGCAAGATTGAGGTTATGCACATCTTACATCCTCCTGTGATAAAGGTGAAAGGCGATTTAACAATGTTTTCGTGTTTTTTTCGTGTGTTATTCGTAGATATGCTAGTTTAAATTGTTACTGCCGTATAATTGAAATTTTTGTCAAATTTAGCCTCTTATCGATGTTACGGTGAGTCGCCATCTTGTTTGTTTATTTACGGCCGTAAGAGCATCATGAAGCCTAAAAACTCGTCGACCAATCAAAAAGCGGAACAGTTTTCCTGTAGTAAAAAGATACGAATGGCCATACTCTGTCTATAAAGGTACTCTAAACTTGACCGGAAGTGACTGAGCGTGACAGAAATGTATCTTAAAAAGTGGAAATCTGAATAATAATTTAACAGACCTTAGTCAAAGAAGGTAGAGTGGACTACTGAAACAATCATTCCACATTCAGTGATCTTCGGGTATTGAGTTCAAAGTTATAGCTCTCAGAATGATAGTCCCTTAAAAATACTAATTTGCATTCTAAATCCACAAAGGAGAAGAACAAATAGCATTATTAAACGATTTCCGAGCATTTATACATTAATTAGAGTAGAAAATGAAGGGGGTGATACCGCGTGGGGAGTGCGAAGAAGAGCGGGCGAGAAGAGAAACGGAGAAAATGAGTAGCACGCCCCGCTGTGTCCAATTGAACATCCGCTAACTATCTACATGCCGCATGCCGTGGGTCTAAGCGCTAAGGGAAGGGGAGACGTTGCTTAACAAACGGGTGAAAAGACAGAACTTATTGAATGTTTATTGAAAGTTCTTTTATATTTGTAGTGCGGGAGCCTAATAAAGCGGCGGAGGGCAGGGATTGCGCGCGAAAGACAAGCGAGGTGGGTTAATGGGCCGAACTTTCTGAAACTTGATCGGTTCGATGGTGTGGATCAACATGGAGGCCAACGCGTGGGAAAGGGTGCGCCCGACCCAGACCACCTGGCAAGCGCATTATGCATCTTTAAATCGGTAGCTAATATGAGTATTTCGGGATTGTGCGCGTCTCTGATTCGGCTCCTGAACGCTGGGCTCCAGCCGGGTAGTACCGCCACCGGGAACGCCATGCGCCACGGCGCGGCGCCGCCGCGCGACAAAATCTAGGTCGATTAGCATCTATTGAACCATTCATTTTCGGAAAGGCCCAAGCGTCAAAAAACTCGTGTGCACTGCAGGTCGTGGTGAGTAAAAGGAGAGGAGGATCCACAATTTTTGTCGATAGGATATATTTCAAGAATGAGCTTCTCTATTGAAGTCGCGG